AAAATCGGTTCAGATTTAGATATAGCTCCCATATATAGTTTCGTCCGATTTCATGTAAATGGTGCCACAAAGTACTTATATATCTTTCGATTTGCACGAAATTTGGCAATTTGCTAAGTTTCGTGAAAATCATATATAGTTTCGTCCGGTTTCATATAAATGGTGCACCAAAGTCCCTATATATCTTTCGATTTGCACGAAATTTGGCATAACGTACTGAATTGAGCCTAGAGTGATGTCTGCCAAGTTTTGAGAAAATCGGTTCAGATTTAGATATAGCTCTCATATATAGTTTCGTCCGATTTCATGTAAAGGGTGCCCCAAAGTCCCTATATATCTTTCGATCTGCACGAAATTTGGCATATCGTACTGAATTAAGCCTAGAGTGATGTCTGCCAAGTTTTGAGAAAATCGGTTCAGATTTAGATATAGCTCCCATATATAGTTTCGTCCGATTTCATGTAAATGGTGCCACAAAGTACTTATATATCTTTCGATTTGCAAGTTTCGAGAAAATCGGTCTATATAGCTCCCATATATATTTCATGTTAATAGTCCTGTTTCATATACCCATAGTGGTGAAGGGTATCATATAGTCGGCCCCGTCCGACTTTACTACTTTCCTTACTGGTTTTTTTTTGTGAAAATATCTAGAAATATAAAAAAGTAAGAAAAGCAGACAGATATATATATATATATATATATATATAGAGACAACGTTAGTAAAAAAATCTCCGGTAGAGAGTTCTATCGAGTATTTAGTCCTAGCTTTGAATAATGTATTAAAATATAATTTATATCGCATATTTTCAGATTTTTAATTTCACACCCACCAAAGATTTTTTTGACAATATGAAATATGTTCAAAATCCAAATCAGGCATTGATGGTAAATATCTCGAAATGGAAGATAGCCGAAATTGCCTATGCTGAAGCATTGTATAATTTTTACATTGGTAAATCTACCTATCCACATGATGAGGCATGTAGTGGCGATGTTATTTGGATCGAGTATAAAAACATGTACCTTATTAATCCGGAACAGGTAAGCAGTGTATGTCCCTGTATGGTTTTTTGTATGGACCTCATGACCTTTATATATATATTTCTTAATATTATCAAAGTAGATTTCCGATTGGATACAAGTGTAGTGAAATTAAATATTGTTATTGAATGATTTTGTTTTTATTTCCATTTTTCTTAAACAACAGGCGGAACATTTTCGCAGTCTTAAATCATTTGATGGCATTCCATTGATGAATAGAACTACGGTATTCAAATCGCCTAACTCAACGTTATATAGAAGGGCAGGCTATGATGATGAAGAAATGAATGTAAAAGAATTTAACTCGTTTGACGATACTGGTGATGGTCCAGTGGATTCTTGTAGAAAACAGCAGTCTTTAAAAGTTCAAATTCTGTCAACTATTACCTGCATTATGATGATAATTTTTAAATATTAACAAGGAAATGCTATGTTAAGTTCTGTAACCTCCATTATGAGGATGGGGACCTAGAAACTCATGGTAGGATCTTAAACATACCATGGTAGGATCTTAAATGCGTTGGCAAAAGATAACGGAAATTTTCAAAATATTTAATAGTGGAGCTAAGGTAATTTGTTTGGGAAACGTATCCAACGTATGGGGAAAAATTGTATTTCTTCGGAGTCTAATCTAATATGCATAAATATGAGTATGGTGTTGTTGTAAAATAATAAATATAATGAGATGCCTTCAATTGTATTGCATACATCCCTCAGGAGTAGAATTTTAATTTTAATAATTAGTGAGTATTTTTTTAGTAATCTGACTTTCATGAAATATTGTAAAATCGTTCGAAAATGTATATGGTGTGTATATTATATATTTACTAAGGCTTCAATTTAAACGAACCTTGAAGGAGGTGAAAAAAAATCGGAAACCAGTGAGCGGAGCAGTATAGTCGGACGGGCCGACCATATCATACCCTACACAACTACCACGAAAAGAAAATTTTCTGCGGTTCTATATTCTGAGCCTGGGCAATATTACGTGATATTTGCACCACTTTTACCGATTTCAGATCAACAACTCAATTTTCTAAGCCTGGCATACTTTCCAAAATGATTTTTCTTTGAGTGAATTTTTACGCCATAAAATAAAAAAAATTGTCACTTTCAGTTTTGGATGATTTGACCCTCGGAATATTGACCGATCATCATCTAAACAGCCGTTCTAAGTATTTGGTTAGATCCCCTTCACCTTGTAAAATATGTGATGTTCTGTATATAATAATTGCCCCTAGAGCGACTAGAAAATCTGACAAAATTAAAGTTTTCGGTTCATTGCACCCCCTGAATGAAATCTCAACTTCACCGAAAACTATAGACGTCGTCCTTGACCATAATCGGAATTTTATGTACACTTTCAAAGCGATCAACGCGACATTTTCGTCCTCTTATGGAGTAATAGTACTACTATGCACATAGTCACCTTTACCTAATTACGTATAACTGCCACATCAGAGTACATACAGCCATATAATTGGTATCAATTTGAAGGTCAACAACTCCTCTTGTATATACCACCAACTTTTCGGGTATATGTCCTTTAGGAGCAAGTATATACGTCCCAGAATAAAAATTTTGAAATTTTTCACACAAAAGTCAGGGTCCATTTGACCCGATAAATATTGAACGATCTTTATCAAAACAGGCATGCTTATTCTTTGGCCCGATCCCGGGTGAGGTTCCCTTAAACAAAAATATTTTTTCGAATCTACTAGGGCGTGGATTTTTTTTAGAAAATGTTGGATTTTTTAAAAAATATTTTTCAGAAACAAAAGTCAGGGCCCATTTGACCCGCTAAATATTGACCGATTTTTATCAAAACAGGCATGCTTATTCTTTGGCCCGATCCCGGGTGGGGTTCCCTTAAACAAAAATATTTTTTTGAATCTACTAGGGCGTGGATTTTTTTTTAGAAAATGTTGGATTTTTTAAAAAATATTTTTCAGAAACTTAGTAAGGCGTAGCTTTGTGCAGACCCAATAGTTTGTAACGCCGCCAAATATTGGTCCTAGACCCACCTTTAAGTATACCGATCGTCATATATTGACTAGCTGAGTCGATCTAGACATGTGTGTCCGTCCGTCCGTCTGTCCATTATAATTTGTAAACACGATACAGGCCACAGTTATGGACCAATCTTCACGAAATTTAGCATGTAGGATGGGTTCTAGTCAATGAAGATCGGTTAATATTTAGGGGATGGTAAAGATCGGTTAATAATTAGGGGATGAAATGGACCAAATACTTAATTTTTGTCGGTTTTTCTGGTCGCTCCAGAGGACGCAATTATGGCCCAAACATCTCGAATTTTTACATGAAGAAGGGGATTGGACCAAAGAATAAGCATGCCTGTTTTGATGGACCCTGACTTTTGTGTGAAAAATTACAAAATTTGTATTCTACCGCGTATATATTTACTCCTGAAGGACATAGAGCCGAGAAGTTAATAGTTTATTCAAGAGGAGTGATTGGCCTTTAAATTGATACCAATTATATTTCGTATGTACACGGATGTGGGAGCTATACGTAAATATTTACAGGTGTTGACGTATTCAGATATTATTTAAAAACCATTACCACACTAGAGGGCGGAAATACAGCGCGGATCGCTTTGAAATATTCCATGAGGTTCCAGTTATGGTCAAGAACAAGGCCTATAATTTTCGGTGATGATCAGATAATTATTTTGGGATGAAGTGGACCGAAAACTTATTTTTTGGTGTTTTTTTTCGATTCGATCTATAGGCTACTATTATAAGCCGAACATCACAACACAACCCACGGTGAAGGGAATGTGGACAAGTAATTAGAAGGGCTGTACTGAATATTGGTAATATTCGGAAAATATGTCAGTGTAAGGAAGAGGTGCTGTTGACCTCTAATCGGTAAAGAGGGTGCAACTATCACGAAATATTACCCAGGCTCGGAATAAAAATCCGCTAAAAAATTAAGTTCTGTGGTAGTTGTGTAGGGTATCGTATGGTCGGCCCCGTCCAACTATACTGCTCCGCTCACTGGTTTTTAATTACTTTTTGGATTTTATAAAATTACATTTTTTAATTATTTTTCTGAACCTAACAAATGCGTGGATTTAAACAAAATCTTTTTTCGAACCTTACTAAGGCGTGGATTTTTAAAATATATATATTTATACCCTTCACAACACTGTGGTACAGGGTATTATGTCTTTGTGCATATGTTTGTAACAGGCAAAAGGAAACGAGATAGACACATGGTTCCTCTTGAGAATATGCATAGAATCACTTTCTGAGTCGATTTACGCATGTCCGTCCATGTATTTTTGTGAAGAAAGTACAGGTCGCATTTATGATCCAATTTGGATGAAATTTGACATAGGTCACTTATTTGGCCCAAGGACGAACCCTATTGAAATTGGGAAAAAATCGGTTCAGATTTATATATAGCTCCCATATATTTTCGTCCGATTTAGTGTAAAAGGTGCAATAAAGTCCCTATATATCTCTCGATTTGCACAAAATTTGGCACAGCGTAATGAGTTAGGTCTAGAATGATGTGTGTTAAGTTTCCTGAAAATCGGTGCAGCTTTAGATATAGCTCCCATATATATTTTCGTCCGATTTAATGTATGTAGTGCACCAAAGTCCCTATACATCTTTCGGTTTGCACGAAATTTGGCACAGCGTAATGAATTAGGTCTAGAATGGTGTGTGTTAAGTTTCGATTTAATGTAAGTGGTGTACCAAAGTCCCCATATATCTTTCGATTTGCACGAAATTTGGCACAGCGTAATGAATTAGGTCTAGAATGGTGTGTGTTAAGTTTCGTTATTTTTAAAATTGGAATACAAATTTGATTGTTTGCCCAAACATCGGTTGCTAGGAAACTCTTTGGAAACTATGCTAACCGATTGAAAGACAAACATATTTAACAAACAAAGAAACACAACATTAACGATTGCCGGTTGTAAAATGTCTTTGAATCCGGAAGAATATCTAAAAGAGAAATTTGAAAAATTAAATCTTAAAATTAATCGACATGAAACTTTACAAAGTCAGGAATCGACAAAATCAGAAGATTCGGAAGAAGTGATGATGCCACCACAAAAGGGGCTGGGATCGATTAGGACTACTTTGGACGATATAGAAAATGGGGTAAGTTTGATAGATATCCTTAAGAAAGGTTCATTTAAAATTTACATATTTTATTTTGTTCTATGGACAGATTCGACAAAGTAAACTAATGGTAAATATACCACCCAATGGAAGAGCTCAAACATTGGCCGCACCACGACGCCAGTTGCCGAAACGTATGAACCCGTTCATAAAAATCACTTTAAAGAAAACCTCAGATATTGTGCTCTATGAACAACGTAGCACAACCGTGTTGAGGGATAGTGAAGAGGGTAAACTGGTGGAGGAGGATAATAAACGTTATGAATATTTAACTGAGGGTCAGGGACGTAAACGTATTTGTTATCCTGTCGAGACCCAAACCTCCTTGGTTTTGACAAAAACTCGTAGCGTTAATACCGATTCCATAGCCAAGGGTAATGTAGCCTCATATGTTTCGAATTTCGAAATGTTTGACACCTACAAGGATCTGGAACAGACAACACAAAGCGTTGATGTGGATGGCAGGAAAAAGATGCAGGTGACCACATATAAAGTCGGTGGAGTGGATCAGTTTGTGGAAATCAACAAATCGCCACAATTCAATCTGGCTCTGATGTTGACCATGCGCATCTTGGCGGGTAATAATTTCGAAAAGTCACAAAGACGTTTTCGCAATATGATCATGCCGGATCCATTAGCACTGGAGGTACGCTATAGCTATCGCATGGATCTTTTGTGGACCTTTAGTATACCTCTACAGCCAGGCGATAGTCAAACCATTACTGATTTGAGTTGGTGTCCCAATCATGGTGACATATTGGCTGCCGGCTATGGCATATTTGGAGCAACATCGGCATTGTTGGCTCAACGTGGCTGTGTTTGCATTTGGAATATTAAAAACCCAGTTAATCCTGAGAGGACCTACCACTTCGATGTTCCAGTACTCGCGGTGGAATTTTCCCCCTATGCGCCACAATTAATGGCAATTGGCCTCTATGATGGCTCCCTGTATGTCTATGACATAAGTAATATTGAGCGACCTCAAATCGCCATGTCTCAGCGTTCCACGTCGCCCAGCAGTGAACCTATAGCTTGTATAAAATGGATAGCCCATAGCAAAAGTGAAACGAAGCTCTATGATATTGAACCATTTTTGGCATTGGCCCGGGATGGTTCCATTACCCGTTATACTCTCATTAATAGTCCATATCTATTGGGATTTCAGTTAATGAAACTCAGACGGGTTGATGGTAATGCTGAGGGTATACAATTGGAAAATAAGCCTATGTTGTTGGAGGCAAATCGTCATCCTCAGGGTATGTACATTTGTTTGGATGCCATTCAGAACGATGTATATTATTGCCTGACCGATGAAGGATGTCAGCATAAATGTTCGACAAATTATCCCCAGCAAGAGTTGCATGTCCTGCAGCTGCATGAGGCCGGCATCAATTATATGGAATTCTCACCATGGTCGCCGAAGTTGTATTTGACTTGTGGCAATGATTGGCAAGTAAAAAAAAAAGTATAATAGGCGTGGTTTTTTTAAATGCATTTTTCAAGGCATAGTATAATAGGCGTGGTTTTTTAAATGCATTTTTCAAGGCTTAGTATAATAGGCGTGGATTTTTTAGAATAAGGCGTGGATTTTTTCAAGGCTTAGTATAAAGGCGTGGATTTTTTAAGAATATTTTTTTCAAGGCTTAGTATAAAGGCGTGGATTTTTTAAGGCTTATTTTTTTCAAGGCTTAGTAGGCGTGGATTTTTTAAGAGGCGTTTTTTTTTAAGGCGTGGATTTTTTGCATATTTTTTTCAAGGCTTAGTATAAGAGGCGTTGTTTTTTAAGGCTTGCATTTTTCAAGGCTTAGTATAAGAGGCGTTGTTTTTTAAGGCTTGCATTTTTCAAGGCTTAGTATAAGAGGCGTTGTTTTTTAAGGCTTGCATTTTTCAAGGCTTAGTATAAGGCGAGGATTTTTTAAAGAATATTTTTTTCAAGGCTTAGTAAGGCGTGGATTTTTTAAAGAATATTTTTTTCAAGGCTTAGTAAGGCGTGGATTTTTTAAAGAATATTTTTTTCAAGGCTTAGTAAGGCGTGGATTTTTTAAAGAATATTTTTTTCAAGGCTTAGTAAGGCGTGGATTTTATAAAGAATATTTTTTCAAGGCTTAGTAAGGCGTGGATTTTTTAAAGAATATTTTTTTCAAGGCTTAGTAAGGCGTGGATTTTTTAAAGAATATTTTTTTCAAGGCTTAGTAAGGCGTGGATTTTTTAAAGAATATTTTTTCAAGGCTTAGTAAGGCGTGGATTTTTTAAAGTATATTTGTTTCAAGGCTTAGAAAGGATGTTTTTTCACTTTATATTTTTTATTATTCAATATATGTCCTTTCCAGGTGCATTCGAATCTGGTTAATGGGAATTTTTAAGCCATTGATTACTCTGAAATACCACATGAGTCCAGTTTATTGTGCCAGTTGGAGTACGGTACATTCATCGATTATTGTGGCTCTGCATCGAGACACAGTTGATGTGTGGGACTTGAGGCGTAGTGTTCTCCAACCAGCATCGTCGACAAGGATTGACAGCAAAGCCTATTACACTACCTTAAGGTATGTTTTAGCTTCATTTTAAATTAGGGATATTATTGATGGGAGTAATGCTGTTTTTTATTTCGATTTCTAGGTTATCACAATGCGGCCGTTCCGTGGCTGTTGGCAACGATAAGGGCCGTGTTGAAATATTGGCTTTCGAGGAAATGCCATTCTCACCGCATTTCCAATACGATCATCTGGAGAAGACGGTATTTTCGATTTTAGCAAATCAAACAGATTTGCTACGAGATGTCAAGAGTATTGGATATTTTGGTTATCCGAAATAAAAGTACTGTACAAAACATTAGATACATAACAATGTTGGTGAAATTGGACATTGGGGGTCGGTGTATTTATACCGTAAATATTGAATGTATGTTCGGAAGTATTTATGAAAAATTTATTTAAGCCATATATACCCAGCATCAATTGAAAATATGTATAAGTTTGCCATTAATTCATTCATTTTAAATTTTTGATAATTCATATTGCCATATTTCTCACAAGACAACATCAGCAAATACCCAAAATAATGACTAATGTTGATTTCGTAAATAGTAACTGATGTTGAATTCGGACCTCGCCTTTTGGGGTTTAAATAATAGAATAACGGCAGCATCGTTCAAAAAATTCTAGATTTCATAGGAAAAATGGCACGTTATTTTTATTTGCTATTGTTTACTTCAAATACAATGAAATATTGACGAAAATTCTGTCCATATTCCACCCAACACATTGTTACTCATGTTTCCGATTATGGGAAATACAAATATCGAATTTCATCAAGTGGTTGGACGAGGTAAATGGTCATCAACACGGGTGAAAAAAATCTGCCAGACTACCAAGTGAAGTGAAAACCCACTACTATGACAATGCTTGCGAAGTGTGTCAATAACTTAACGTATTCAGTTTTTTGTTATTCTGAAAGGTTATTAATGACGAATTTTTGTAAAGATTATGATGTCGTTATTGTACTCTTAAAAATCTTTATTTCGGAAATTATTAATCTTATAAAGAATATTTTTCCAAAAACTATTATGGCGTGGATTTTTTAAAGAAAAAAATTTCAATAATTATTAAGGCTTGGATTTAAATTTTTTTTTCAAATATTATAAGGCGTGGTTTTACAGATATCCGATTTGAACCAGACTTTGTACAACCTATCATGGGACGCATTGATCCACTTCTTCTCGTACCTCGCCCGCAAATGGTTAAAATTGTCAATATTAATAAAAAATCAAATATTAGGTGAAAGGTATGTCCGATTTGAACAGAACTTTGCGAAACCTATTACCAAACCTAGATCAAGTCCGAAGATGGACCTAAGGTAAATATTTTATAAGCTTCTCAATTTTATTTGAAACAAATTGATTAACCTATTGGATCAACATTAAATTCGAAACTTCTTTGATAAAAAACATGTGCCGTATTTAAAGGGAATAATGAAATCTGTGTGTAATTCCGAAGACATCCACAAACCATAGGCTGGGGTATATATCTATAGGCAACATCGAATGGAATTTTTATACCCTACACAACTATGTTGTCAGGGTATTATAGCTTTGTACAGCCCCATGAGTTTGTAACGAAATATTGGTCCTAGACCCACCTTTAAGTATACCGATGAGTCGATCTAGACATGTGTGTCCGTCCGTCCATTATAATTTGTAAACACCATACAGGTTACAGTTATGGACCAATCTTCGCGAAATTTTGCATGTAGGATTGGTTTGGCCTAATGAAGGCCCCTATTGTTTTTGGTAAAAATCGGATAATATTTAGGGGATGAAATGGACCAAATATTTAATTTTTTCCAGAGGCCGCAATTATGGTCCAAGCATCTCGAATTTTTTACATGGAGAAGGGGATTGGGATGCCTGTTTTGATAAAAATCGGTCAATATTTAGAGGGTCAAATGACCCTGACTTCTGTGTGAAAAATTACAAAATTTGTATTCTATAGCGAATATATTTACTCCTGAAGGACATAGAACCGAGAAGTTAATAGTATATCAAATCCTTTAAATTGATACCCATTATATTGTCGTATGTACTCGGATGCGGGAGTTAGACCTAAATATTTACAGTTGCTTACGTATTCCAATTGGGTACCAAAAACCACCACCAAGCAACCTATGGTACGACCAGTAGTATCGTAATGCTACTGAGGTGAAAAACGCAGCGTATAGGGCAACCCTGCAGACAGTAGCAACACGTAACGTAATGGTGAACTATCGGGAGAAAAGGAGAGAGGAGAAACGTATTTTCAGAAAAAAACAAAGAACAAGAAAAGCGTGATCGTGAGCAAATCGAGATGTACAGGAGTCAGAATGAAGTCCGGAAATTTTACCAACGAGTAAAACACCAAACCGAAGGCTTTGGTGCAGGCACATCCTCCTGTAGAGATGAATTAATCGGCTCAGGAACAACAAAACAGCAGGAGCCGATGGTTTACCAGCCGAACTATTCAAGACTGGTGGCCAGATGATGGTCAGGAGCATGCACCAGCTAATTAGCACAATTTGGCTAGATGAATGCATGCCCAATGATTGGAACCTCAGCATCCTGTGTCCCGTGCACAAAAAAGGAGACAAGACGATATGTGCCAACTATAGAGGAATAAGTCTCCTTGCCATCGCATATAAAGTGCTATGCAGTGTGCTGTGTGAACGATTGAAGCCAATGGTCAATGACATCATCGGACCATACCAATGGTCTTCAGACCTGGCAAATCCACCATTGACCAGATTTTCACTCTGCGCCAAATCCTGGAAATGACCCACGAAAAAACACATCGACACATATCACCTATTTGTCGACTATAAAGCCGCATTCGACAGCCCTATCCGTTCAGAGGTGTTTAAAGCCCTGTCTGCATTCGGCATTCCTGCAAAATTAATACGGCTATGCAGGATAACTTTAAGTGGCACAAGGTCAGCAGTTAAAGTAGGAAAGGACCTATCGGAGCCCTTCACTACCGAACGAGGATTCAAACAAGGTGACAGTTTGTCGTGTGATCTTTTTAACATCCTGCTGAAAAAGGTCATGCGAGACGCAAAGGTGAGCAGAAATTGCACTCGGTACACCAAACAACACATGTTACTCGCCTACACCGATGACATCGATAGAATGGGTCGAACATTGCGAGCGGTAACAGACACCTTTGAACAAATTGAAAAGAAGTCTGCCAAAGTGGGTCTGGCAGTAAACGGCGAGAAGACCAAGCTGATGGTATCAAAGCGCAAGACGTCCAGTAGACTCGGACCAACTGGTGAACTTGAGAACTACAGCTTCGAGGTAGTTAAAGACTTTATATACCTTGGTACCGCCATAAATAAAACGAATGACATCAGCTTTGAAATTCGGAGAAGGATTGTGATGGCCAACAGATGCTACTATGGTCTAAGTAAGCAGTTTAGAAACAAGGCCACCTCCCGCCAGACCAAACTCACACTTTATAAGACGCTGATACTACCCGTGCTATTATATGGATCAGAAGCATGGGTACTTGCGCAAGCAGATGAGGCAGCTCTTGGGGTGTTTGAGGGAAAAATTCTCCGAAAGATCTACGGGCCGATCTGCGTCGACGGTGAATATCGTCGTCGAATGAACCACGAGCTTTACAATTTATACGCGGACATCGACATAGTCAGTCGTATTGAGTTGCAACGACTACGGTGGCTAGGTCTTGGAAATGGAAATGTTCCATGAGGTTCCAGTTATGGTCAAGGACAACGCCTATAATTTTTGGTGATGATCAGATAATAATTCAATCTGTATGATACAATTATAAGCCTAACATCACAACACAACCCACGGTGAAGGGAATACGGGCTGTACTGAATATTGATAATATTCGGAAAATATGTCAGTTTAAGGAAGAGGTGCTGTTGACCTCTAATCGGCAAGAAGATGCAACTATTACGAAATATTACCCAGGCTTGGTATAAAAATTCTCAGAAAGATAGAGTTATGTGGTAGTTGTGTAGGGTATGGTATATTCGGCCCCGTCCGCTCCGCTCACTGGTTTTACTTGTTTCTTTATTATATTTTATTTTTAAAATTAAAAATTCTTATTCAAATTCAATACATAAATATTATTGATAAAAATGCATTCAGCATAAATAACGATGTGTAAGCGTGCAAATTGCCTCCCGAATCCAAAACAATTCCCAAACCTTCAAATGGTTCAATGGGCCAGCCATTGGTTTCATAATCCAGCAGATAGACATTGTGATATATTTGCGATGTTGGTGATCGGATGGGTTCAATTTTCTTGTCCATCATCGATGTGCCATTAGAGGTTTTCAGATTTTTAAATAAATTTACCTTTAAAAAAAAAAAAATAAATAAATAAATAAAGATATTAAATATTTAAAAAAGAATATCCATTTTATTGCACACGATACATCATACCTCATTGGCCATAATTTCCGTTATCGTATCATATTCTATCCATATGACATCGGCCTGGTGGCATCCTGCAATTGGAATTGCTGTTGATTTTCCTACGTAAACACTAAATGCGGCATTTATCTCCAATATGCCATATAACGACATTGCTTCTTCTTCTTCGAAATCATAAAAATCATTTGTATTTTCGATTTCCGCAAAATATTCATAGAAATAGTTGGCATATTGTTGTTCCGTGTCCTGTTCCCGGGGCAAATTGGAGGTACTGATATTAAATCGAATATTTATGTTTGTAAACTTACCGAATGTCTTTTTGCCAATATGACAATCCCGAAATTTGTCTTAGATGCTTCTTCATAGCTTTCGTAACGCATATTACTAAATACCGCATGCAGTTCAAAAGGTAAGAGACCCTCTTGCTTTGCCCAATCTTTATCAGTCCAATGAATATATAAAAATTGAAATTTATATTTTTCCCCAGCCAGTGGGCAGTTTTCAATGTAGGGCATTTCATTGGGTTTAAATGTGGCTGTCATTACAACCGTTGCTCCGGTGTTTTCTATTCGTGCGCCAATTGGATCTCTTGAAAAGTTGATATAATCGATATTGGAAATATTTCTTTTCAGCATTTTTAAATCATTTCCATTCGGTGGTATATAATATTTGCCAATGCAGTTCGATGCAGAACCTAGAAAATAATGTTTATTTTATTTTAAAATAGTGTTTGTTATTTTAGTTCTGCGTTGAACTAGTTCGTTTTTTTTATTTGTTCGTCACACAGGATCCGTTTGGGGTGTATTAATCATTCACTAGCTTAGTTTGAGGGGGACTTTTATGTGGGTGCTATGTCAAAACCTGGGCTTATGTCGAACATT